ACCGCCAAACGCTTGGGTCCCTATTCCATACGCCTTTAGTGCTTCGCCCGAGCGGAAATGTGTGCCCCCAATGCGTACATTTAGATGCAGGGCGTAGTCGTCCGTGCTCACGTGCTTATCTCTTGAGGGAGAGTTTTTTTTTTTTTGCGTCTTGAGCTCTCACCGCAAAGTTGCATTCAAGCCATAGACCATACAAACGTGATTCTTGTTGATCCAGAGGCTGTATTTAAGAAAAGACTGAATTGCTCTCTAGAATAGTCCAAGCAGGGGCCAATTCAAGGAACAACTGCGACAGTTTGTGGTCGTCCTATGTGTACTTGTGCGTTCTTTTCTTTTCTAAATCTCTGCTTGAGCAGTGGGCAGCTGCTGCCCGTCTTCCTCTGACATTCCGCTTTTTCATTCTCGCATTCATACTTCATATTTCCGGCTATACCAATATGAATTACTTACAGCCAGTTATAAAGCTTTGCAACTTGGCAAGCTTTATTGATAGATAGGCATAATTTATTGCTAACGCAGTTCTTAAAGTAACTAAAAATGAAAGACGTCTAGTTTGTGTAGAATAGAAGGTTCACAATCCACTACTACCAGTAGTCATGAAACCACATAGCGCAAAAAATTTTAAATTCGGCTTCATTGGAAAACATCCGTCACCCAACCTTTGTCACGTGTGGTACACCTCTAAGGCCTGTTCACGCGCTACCCGCGCAGCCGCAGCGCACGTGCCGGGACACCTGCCACACCTAGGCGGAGAGCAAATGAGCGCCTTCGCGACTCTCTTTCACCACCCGCTTGGGTACGGCCGAGACCCGGCACGAGCGTTGCGGCGGCCTGTTAGCGTGTGAACAAGTCCTTAACGATTCTCTTGTCAGAGCAGGTATTCAACTCATTATTTTCGAGTATTATATAATTGATATAGAAACGAAACGAGCAGTGCGACATTGCTAGGCAGTGCTCCCATGCTGCCTTCGAGAGTGGGAATTTCCATGCTGCAAGTGAAACGAAAGCATCTGCCCGAAATAGGGTGAATGTCCACGAAAATGCCTGTTGTCGGCATGTGTTCAGTTAGCAAATAGAGCGAAAATCCCGCAGACATCACCGCACTGTTCAAATGTTAACTGAGTTGCGGCGTTGACGCGTACGCAAGCGTGTTTGATTCCTAACCACCTGAAGTGTCCCAGATGCTCTTTTGATGACACGCACATTGTTGTAGCCATTTTCTCATCCCTGTTTGCACGCGCTCCGCACTATATTTATGCCATGGCCAACATAGAGCTATCTTGGAGCAACCGCATCCGCCCGAGAAGCTTGTGCCATCGTGTATAGCCCCCCGGGCGTGTTTATTTGCAGTCCCTTCGCGATAGTCATGCCTCCTAGCTGGAGCTTTAGATGTGGTTCGTTACCATACGAATGGGTACTATTGCACAATATATGTTGTGCTCGAACTTCTCTGAACTGTTATTTTGACACAATGCCACATTGATAACTCTTTTTTATGACACAACACACGCAAGTTACAAAACAAAGGTAGAACTTCTTACCAGTGTGGCATCTGCGTAGAAGCGTCGTTTATTGTCTACCTAAAATAATCTTCAGGTAATGCACAAGTGCCCGAATAATACAACGTAATCCACTGACCTGTGTGCATGTGCGGCGCACCTGTTCGTGCCACATGACAATAGCTAGCGGAGTTTCCATTGACTTTCACGTTGTGATAAGTTTCTTTTTCTGGGCACGTCTTGTCGAACGTTGCCGAACCTGATTGACTGAACGATTCTCTACTTTAAAATGACCAGACATGCATGTATTCTGCTCCTTCTGCTTGCCAACTCATTTGGTGTGTTGCGATCTAGCTTTCACCACCTTCGATGGAAGACGTTTGGTATAAAGGTAACAATTTCTTTCTTCATTACCATGCAATTGGCATTTTAAAATTGTTTAAAAAAGTACTAAACAGAAAAAATATGTCACATCTGTTAGTAAGCCATGTGTTCGGAACAGCGAAAGCAGCGCAGCTAGGACTAGAAAGTGCTTTCTAAGCCACAAAAAACTAAAAATGAAAGCAGAGGTTAGAAGCAGACGTGCACAAGGCTGTATGGCACGCACTGCTGAGAAATAACAGAGCATTTTTAAGAAACGCGGGGCTGCGCATATGAACTAATGATTCAAAAGGCACTTGGATAACGATGACATCATTCTGACATTGAGGCACTACCATTTTACGCAATAATCATTAGGCAATGTTTATGAATATACATAGAATAAATTTACAATGGCGGTATCAATAATAACAGCTTTAATAAAAAATTGCCTATCACAACTGATTAATCAAATCACTTTCGGATTCGCTTTCACATTATCCTTCGGATCACTGTGGTTGTTTTAGTTATATTCATAAAAGGAAATCAATGGTGATGCGTTCTGAGGTAATTCAATTCCACCATTCTTAAATTTCCACAAACGCAAAAAACATCGTTCAATGTAGAAAAATAACCCCTCTGTGATGGTCTAGTGGCTAAGGTACTCGGCTGCTGACCCGCATGTCACTCTAAAAACAAAGAGTACCGGGCACTATTTTTGGCAGCGGGCTTTTTGTTGCATATTTTACTCTATTTTCCAGAGTAAATCATTTTTAGGCATAGTATTCTGATTCCCTCAGAAAGTGTCTCACTACTCCACCTCAACACAGTAACATAGCACTGGCCACGGCAGAGTAGCATAAACCCATCAAAGGGAGTAGTACCATGCCTCACGATAAAGGGAATTAGCAAAGCTTGGTCCAAAATTGTACTCTTTATTGTCTTTGATAGATTTCTTCACGCGCAGGCTATAAGGGTGGCTAAGTACGCGCACTCTCATAAAAAAGGGAAAAGCTGAAAAGGTGACCGAGCAGGACTCAAACCTTCAAACTCTGGACTCGCATTAGATTGTGATCCCGACATGCTAGCCACTACAACACACTAGAAGCACTACATGAACTTTTATTTCTTTATGCCATAAGCAATGTCATAAGCATACTAACGCCTGCTTTTCAGTGACGTTGTATGTAAATAAACCATTCGTGACTTCACGAATGATTACCTCTTTTTGTGAAGATCCTTTGCCTTCACATAAAAAAAGACCACCATGTCCACTCAGACTAGGTAAAAAAAGCTGACAAACTGATCAAGAAAACATGCACATATCGCAACTTTTAGACTAATGACCTAGTCAGTAATTACTTATGCAATATAAAAAGACATAGCTAGGAAAAACTCGATCAACCTCACCACTAGCACTCAGCGGTTATACAATAGCGGGTGTACAGTAAACAGAAAAAAGTTGATAAATATATGTGTAAATAAAGAGTTGGCAGATCACACAAACAGTGGGAATCAATGATTTCAACTGAACGGTGCCTAGGCACCGTTCAGTCGAGTTTTCTAGTCTGACTGCAGTGTCCTAATGCATAACCTAGCCGATAAAAAAAGAAACCTTGAAACGGTATTGGTGAAAATGGAACACGACGCGAGCGTCTCGAGCCTTGCATCTGTCGGCAGATTGTGTCCGGGATACACTGGGGACGCGAGGACGCGTCTCTTTTCTGCGTCCCCTAACAGCTAATGTCAGAAACTTTGAGACGGGTACTGTGAGCAACGCAGCTCCCTCTGGTGAGTATGCGGTGCTTATAGTCTAATGCCAGGCGCGACCAGTATATATGCATAGCAGTATATATGCACTTTTTGTTGTCTTGATATCAAATTCGAGAGCCAGCCCTGTAACCGCAATCGCTATATGGAAGACATCAGGCCTGCACCCTGTTTCCGAAGCACGTTGAAGCACTGGCGTGGTTCTGCGGTAGAATACACGAACGACACGCAGATTCTCTGGTTTGGATTCCTGCTCGGATCATGAATCTGTGTATTCTCAATGGTTAACGTTTTGCACCCTGAAGTAGCTCCACTAACGCAACAGTTCTTGCGCGACACGGGCTGCAGAACGTCCTCGCTTTAGATGTACTAGCTTCTGTTCTAACCATTGAATAAACTAATATTTACTTGTTGGGCACACTAGCATACCACTGCCCACGTTCCACATGTCACTTTGGCATCAGAGTTGCCTAAGGGAAGAGTTTTCGCGAAGTATGCGATAAGTTTTTGCGTTACACACACCACGAGCTAAAATTCATGGTTTTTCAACATACCAGCATATTCCTCTATGGCAATTTACCTAATTACCAAGTTCTGTAGACGCCCATATGACGCCTCCGTAACGTCTTCCTAATATAAGGACACAACTTCATGTCTAAATGAAATCATATTTTATACCTATCATAGTGTTTACAGTGCAGTAGCTCAATTTTCACAGAGCAAAACACCGGAAGAACGTCTTTCTTGCTTTTTCGAATAAAAACATACATTTAGAAGAAGTACAACGACGAAGTACTGCATCACGCGCCTACGACGGAAGTATTTACATCGGGCTGTTTCTCTCACGTGTCTTTCTTTGCGATCGCCGTTGTTTCAATTCATGTTTGCCTTAAACAATTAGGTTTGGCCTACTAACTTGCGTACCGTGAGTTTTATTACTTAAACTATATCATCATGTACTGTGTCTTTGAAATGACATGTGCCTCACTGACCCATCGTACTCCAGATATGCTTTTAGCAAGGTGTAGATTATACCGACAGCAAGAGTATATGAAAGGCCAACAGTGAAGACAGTATGTCTCAAGAAAAGATGACAGAATGCAGTGCAACCAAATATTTCTTTTTTTTATTTTGTAGGTAAATTGATTATTGAACAAAAAGTTCCAAGGCGAAAAAGGACAATACGTGTTTCTGAGTCATGGTTTGCACACTGGGAAATAGAGATTTTGATGTTATCAAATAACGACCTCGCATCACGTGAATTCATGCATTCTTGATATCTATTTATAAAATCACCCATTATATGAAAGCTTAGGCTTTCCTCATGGCACGGTGATAACGAAGAAATTTTCTTCTATTATTTGCAGAAACCTACCCATGTAAAAGGATTTAATCGCCATAACTTAACAGAGTACAAGGAATACAGCATGGCAAAGGTGAGCAAGACATTGCATATTTTTGACACCAAAACTCAACGCGCTGTTCTGGCAAAGCTTAGGTTCGTATATCAAAGTTTGGATACAACTGCTCACGAGTATACGTGTGCCACCGCATCCACTGCAGTCACGCGCTATATTTATGCAGGAGATCAGCAGACGGCTAATGCCATTGTGGATATCGGGTGATACGGTTGCGTTTTTATTGAAGCCTTCCGTAGCACGCAGCTCGCTTTGCTGTATGCAGTAATAATATCTAGATATTCACCCGCTAAAACGGTAATATAATATAAGACGCGCCCTAGTGAACAACGCTGGAAATTTCCGCCATCTGGCGTTGTTTCATGTCAATTTCTATCGCACAGTAAACAAGCTTTGCTAGGCGTTATTCGAGGTGACTGAGCTGATAGCCTTACTTAAAATTTTCGACACTCCTGCCATTGCATTCGGTGGAGCGTGTTCAAGGCGAAAGTATTTTTTCCCGAATGGAAATTATTTTTCCGCGAAGGACTTGGTTACTGTTGAGATACTCACTTTTGCTCCAATTTTACTACAGAATGCCAAATATTGTACGCAAATGCTAACACACTCGGCAAGAAGCACACCACAAATTTTCAACCTTTTCTTCATGACAGACATCGGAAAGCTGCTAAGGCTACAGCTGGCAAAACCTACTAACGATTGGCGTCACTTGCATGTCAGTAGAACAACGGTATGGAAGTCTTGGTGCATCTTCGTAAATTTTGGGAAAGCAGCGTTAACAAACACACAGGCTGACAGCTGTTCTTGCGACTGCAGCCACGTGTCAGTCGCATCAATTTTGTCCTTTTTGTTAGTTCCAAAATTAAGCTCTTTGTCACCCGTTCCTCGTTTTAGGGGTGGGACCGTTAGTATTGGTGGAGTACTTGATAGGCTCCATAGAGTAAGCAATAGATATGAAAGAAAATGTACTTGATCCTCCTTGCATATAAATTGGTATAACACACGCAAGGGAAATACGTCTTCAGATGTGTGGTTGTATGTTTGTTGCACACTGATATGTAATTATCTAATATATAACTATCTAATATATAATGGTGTTTATTCGCCACAACGCCCTGAGACCTTTACGGTGCCATTTCGACCCTTGCTAATATTTATTTCCCAGAATACCTGTTTTTAAGACACTGCAATGAACGCACAGCAGCAGCATCGTACAAATCCCACATGAACCACACACGTTTGCGAACCCTGCAAGTGCAACCAAACGCGTGTCTACAAACTCGTTCTTTTGAAGTGATGGTTCGCTGCAGCTAACACTGCAGGACTTTCGAGTCGGCGACCGTCTTGTGGGTGTCTTTGGGACGCTGCGTCGTGAAGGTGACCATAGGTGGGTTGGTGGGTAACTTTGGTGAAGGTACGACACTTTGGTCTTTCTTGAGTGTGTGTAAGGCAGCCGGTCTGGTTGGGATGTGTTCAACTTCGCAAACGCAAGAGAAAGAGTTCTGAAATTGAGCTACGAACGCGCGAATGCCTCCCGCTCCCCCTTGTGTGTCCTTCGCTGCGCCAAAATCATTCTAGTGACATTCACCCGTCCATGGTATTGATTGCCTTTCAGCGGCGCCTATCGCGGTAGATTTCGTTGTCGGTGCTCTTTCAATGGTATGATTAGATGACGAAGAAACACAGTGGGAGCATATTCAGGCTGTAAGCACTAGGAAAACGCGAGCAGCAAAGCACGTAACTGCGTCATCACCGAGTCAAGTCGCTCGAGGCCTCTGTGATTCCAGAAAAAAATGTTGGAACTAATCATGGAGGCCCCGTTCTCTGGCGCTGTACCTTTATGAGTAGGCCCAACACCACCTAGGTGGCGTGGCTAGGGCTACCTGATGCCAGCGTCCTCACGAATTGTTGCATCAAGGTGTTGTACCGAAGTTTTGATACTACGCACGCGTTCTCTGTCGGTGCTTGTCATGGCTAGCATACAGTACTTCTTTTCTCCTCGTGTAGGCAGTGCCACTGCCACGACAAATCAAGAGCGCAGGTATCAAGTGGAATGTGAAGTATACAAGGCGCGTCTGAAGTACTCTTCCTAAGTGCGGTGATAGCGCAGTTGTTTAAGCATCCTGTGTCTATAGGTGTTGACGAAAAGATCATGGGTTTGTCTTCCGCGCCTCTGAAACTTATGGATTTTTTCTTTACTATTTTTTGTGTTCGGTTTATGTAAGTTTTAAAAACGTCATATCCTAGACCGATGCAAATGAGTCAAATCCTGGTGAACTCCGGCCTAAAACACAACAGTGATAAAATGAAAGAGTAAAAGAAAACACCAGCTTAAAACGGAGTTTGAATACATGCTGGCGCCTGCATAGAAATCAAGCCGTCTATCATTGAACTACGCTGGTGCCTGAAACTCGGGCGTCATGTCGGTTCAAAAGCCACGTTAACCTTCGGAGGAAAGTAAAATAACAACCAGTCCGCAAACAGTGCTAAATACTCAACAAATGTGTAGTTTTGTCTTTTATACCCACTGCTAAATGTTCAGCCAACATTTTTCTCCATCAGCCAAACGCTGCATCGACAAGCGCATAAAAGTGTAAAGGTATTTGCAGCGGTTATCCCGCCTACCCGCAGGAGATAAATACTGGCCAAGTAGGTGCTGTCCTACTCCTCAAAAATTACGTTTTATAGCGTAGCCGATATCTTGTGGATAGAAAAAACTTCTAATTGAGTTCGTGTTGTCCCAAGATGAAGCTGCGCTCATATTTCACATGCAATCTCGTAGTGACCGGAGGTGTTTTTAGCATTTTTCGAAAAAAAATTGCATAACACCTGCCAAGGCGAGCTTTCAACAAACAGTTCTTTGATTGAGTTCACCAACATTTTTGTTCATTTTTGCGTTAGTTGGTTCAGTGCACTTGAACTCGACCGAAATGAAGCCGACTTTACGAAGTAGTCAATCTCGCAAAGTTATCTGCATTTCCCGGCAGCTACTTATGGGATCAATAAAAAAAAAATATTCAAACCAACGTGGCGCAATACATAATATAGCAAAGCTTTCTCTGAACTAAATGACACGTGAAGGTGTAATGTTTTATGAATAGTGTTGACCCTGCCGGTTTTTTTTTTGGGGAACATGCTCTGTAACACTGTATATCATGCTGAAATATCTAGCCACCCCAGCCATGACCTTGATTTTTATTTTCACGAAACTACATATTACCCTCACATGTGAAGAAACCGACTAAGTAGATGACAGCACTGTTTCGTACAAGATGCGGTAGAGGTGGCCACAATTTATTATCACTTGGTATACTCACAGAGTTACATCACAGCAGTCGATTTCGTTATTTCACCCTTTATGCCATTGACCGTCACTTTGCAAATTCTTTCCTCCGTCTAGTGGCACCGTCACCTCTTTTTCTTCTCCTCGTCTTTATAAACTACCATCCTGCAAAATTTCACATGAACGTCTACTTGGCTGTATTGCCGAATATGGAAGACTCGATGTTAACACCGTCATCATAAAGTTTTCACACACAAGATCTGAATTGGCTGCAAGTACAATGCCATTGTTGTTTCTGCTGCCACAGCGTTAGCATTTTAGTTTTTGATAGAGCGAGCAACATTTCCCAGTTTCGCCATTTTCTCGATTTACCGAGATAACTGGGTACAGTAAACACTTCCTTGTTCAAGGCGTGGTGGTACTAAATTACCAATTTATTTGTTTATAGAACCTTTCCGATACGTAGTCCAAGTTGATGATCGATTGATATGTGAGGTTAACTGCTCCGAAACCACCAAAATGATTATGAGAGACGCTGTAGCGGAAGGATCCAGAAATTTGACCCCCTAGGCTTCTTTAACATGTCTCCAAGTCTGAGCACAGGGGCCTACATCATACGTTGTCCAAGTCGACAGTACGCGGAATGGCACATGCCATCAAAAGAATTTTACGACAAAAAACGTATTGTGAATTTAAGATGCCGATTTCATTCACCCATATTATTCAGTTGTAGTGCGAGTAAAAGTAGAATAGCGCTTTCTGTTTGGTATCACAGGATCAGGAGTTGATTAATTGATTTGTGGGGTTTAATGTCCCAAAACCACCATATGATTATGAGAGACGCCGTAGTGGAGGGTTCCGGAAATTTTGACCACTTGGGATTCTTTAACGTGCACCCAAATCTGAGTACACGGGCCTACAACATTTCCGCCTCCATCGGAAATGCAGCCGCCACAGCCGGGAGTTAATGCATGACTTATGCGTTGACGTATCGGTCTTTTCTGAATTCGTGCGGGTGTTATTAGTTTGATAAATGTGTTGAGGAAACTAGATACGGAAAACATTTTATATATAAGTCGATCAGCTTTTCACTGATTTTAATCGGTATATTTTATTTCACGTGGTTAGTCCATGTGGTTAGTCCATGTTCATGTGGTTAGTCTAGTTTCAGCCTAATGAGGGGAGACGCTATCGCAACTTGGCGTCTTAGGAGTTTTGTGATTATTTTGAAGATTTGCCTCAGTCAACGGTAACTAAGAAGGACACGAAAAACTCACTTATTCATGTTAAAAACTGTGCTACTAGATCTTACGATAAATTGATAAATCACCTATATCCCAGTTATCAAACTTATTCAACCGTAGCTCTTCTATTGGTAATTGAAGTATTCAAGCTGGGAATTAGTGAACACCCTTTTTGTAAACAAATACGCGCCTTAATCGAAGTGAGGAAGCTTTCCAGATGTGCTGGATTCTTCAAGCGACTGCTTCGCGAAGGCAAAAAAGAAATCGCTTGCCCCTGCCCCGTGTTATCAGATAGCCAACCGAAAGACCAGTTCACCTGCATACCTGTAGGACATAGTAAAAAAGAACAACACAGTACACCCCACCAAGTTCAACAGATGCCTGGGCACAACTTTATTCAACCATTGCGGAGTCTTTTGGCTTCGTTAGTTGTGTTGCTAAAGGTCACTAGAAGTGGACACGGCACTGAGAAACAAGTACTGAGGATATTA